GGTGGATCTGTCTAATATTGACAGTGGAGTGTTAAAGTCTCCCACTATTATTGTGTGGGAGTCTAAGTCTCTTTGTAAGTCATTAAGAACTTGCCTTATGTGTCTGGGTGCTTCTGTATTGGGTCCATATATGTTTAGGATCGTTAGCTCTTCTTGTTGTATCGATCCTTTTACCATTATGTAATGGCCTTCTTTGTCTCTTTTGATCTTTGTTGCTTTAAAGTCTATTTTATCAGAGATGAGAATTGCAACTCCTGCTTTCTTTTGCTCTCCATTTGCTTGGTAAATCTTCCTCCATCCCTTTATTTTGAGCCTTTGTGTATCCTTGCATGTGAGATGGGTTTCCTGGATACAGCACACTGATGGGTTTTGGCTTTTTATCCAATTTGCCAGTCTGTGTCTTTTGATTGGTGCATTTAGTCCATTTACATTTAGGGTTAATATTGTTATGTTTGAATTTGATACTGCCATTTTGATGCTAAGTGGCTGTTTTGCCTGTTAGTTGTTGTAGATTCTTCATTATGTTGGTGCTCTTTAGCATTTAGTGTGATTTTGGAATGGCTGGTACTGGTTGTTTCTTTCTATGTGTAGTGCCTCTTTCAGGAGCTCTTGTAAAGCAGGCCTGGTGGTGACAAAATCTCTGAGGACTTGCTTGTTCGCAAAGGATTTTATTTTTCCTTCACTTCTGAAGCTCAGTTTGGCTGGATATGAAATTCTGAGTTGAGAGTTCTTTTCTTTAAGAATGTTGAATATTGGCTCCCACTCTCTTCTGGCTTACAGAGTTTCTGCTGAGAGATCTGCTGTGAGTCTGATGGGCTTCCCTTTGTGGGTGACCCGACCTTTCTCCGTGGCTGCCCTTAGTATTTTCTCCGTTATTTCAACTTTGTTGAATCTGACGATTAGGTACCTTGGGGTTGCTCTTCTTGCGGAATATCTTTGTGGTGTTCTCTGTATTTCCTGCAATTGAGTGTTGGCCTGCCTTGCTAGGTGGGGGAAATTTTCCTGGATAATATCCTGAAGAGTATTTTCCAGCTTGGATTCATTCTCTTTGTCACATTCTGGTACACCTATCAAACGTAGGTTAGGTCTTTTCACATAGTCCCACATTTCTTGGAGACTTTGTTCATTTTTTTTTTGCGCTTTTTTCTCTGATCTTGGTTTCTCATTTTATTTCATTGAGTTGATCTTTGACTTTTGATATTCTTTCTTCTGCTTGGTCAATTCGGCTATTGAAACTTGTGCATGCTTCGCGAAGTTCTCGTATTGTGTTTTCAGCTCCTTTAATTCATTCATATTCCTCTCTAAGGTATCCATTCTTGTTATCATTTCCTCAAATCTTTTTTCAAGGTTCTTAGTTTCTTTGCATTGATTTAAAACATGTTATTTTAGCTCACAAAAGTTTCTCGCTATCCACCTTCTGAAGTCTAATTCCTTCATTTCATCACAGTCATTCTCCATCCAGCTTTGTTCCCTTGCTGGTGAGGAGTTTTGGTCCTTTCTAGGTTGCGAGGTGTTCTGGTTTCGGGTGTTTTCCTCCTTTTTGCGCTGGTTTCTTCCCATCTTTGTGGATTTATCCACCTGTCGTCTGTGTAGTTGCTGACTTTTCGATTGGGTCTCTGAGTGGACACCCAGATGGTTGATGATGAATTATTTCTGTTACTTGGGTTTTTTTCTACCAGTCTAGCCCCTTCCCTGTACGACTGCTGAGGTCCACTGCAGGCCCTGCTTGTCTGGGGTGCACCTATAGCAGCTGCGGAACAGCGAGGGATGCTACCAGTTTCTTTTTCTGCTATCTTTGTCCCAGAATGATGCCCGCCAAATGTCGGTCTTTTGGATATAGAGGGGTCAGGGAGCTGCTTGAGGAGACAGTCTGTACTTTGTAGGAGCTCAAGTGCTGAGCTGTGAGCTCTGTTGTTCATTCAGGGCTGTTAGGCTGCTATGTTTAATTCTGCTGCAACATAACTCATAAAAGAAACGCTTTTTTTCTCAGATGCTCTGTCTGGGGTGGGGGTTGGGGCTTTCCTTGTGAGTGTCCGCCTCTGTGTCCTGCCCAGCTAGTTGGCAGTCTAGTCACTTTTTGCCTGCAGAGGCTCCGCCCTGCTGGTGTGAGGTTCACCCTGTTGCTGCAGGCTCTGCCCTTCTGCTGCAGTCTCCGCCTTGTTGCCACGGGCTACGCCCTGAGGCAGAGTCTCTCTGTTGTACCAGGTTGCCTCTGCAATGGCAGGCTGCGTCAGCAATGGGCGTGTACCTCAGTAGGGGCTGACTGCCTCCGTAATGGCGGACGCCCCTCCCCCATGGAGCTGCACTTTAAAAAACCTTCTCTCCGGGAGCATTTGGAATCGCCGTTTTGTTTGTCGCACTGCGCTACCCCAAACGCTGTGTCCCTGGGATTTCCTGGGCTGGCTCACTGTCCACGTCCCCTTCAGTCTCAAGTTCAACCCTCTCAGGTCTCAGTTTGCTGGTTTAACAGGGCACCCATAATAGTGCACTTTTGTATGGAGTGCTGTGGAGCGCCTCTGCACTCTGGAGCGGGCTGGAGCCGCACCGGCTGCCAGCTACACCAGCCAAGGCCTCTGCCTGGTGTCCCGTGTCTCTTTTATACCTGGGAATTTCCCCGTTCTGTGGGCAACTAAGATCTGTCTGGAAATGTGTCCCTGACTCACCCTCTCCGCTCATCCAGCAAGAGCTTCAATCCTCTATCTTTTCCTTTTAAAAAAAGGTTTCAAGCTGAAGGAAAAACATGTGGCCAAGAGTGTTATGATTATCCACTAGAGATTTTCATCAGTACTTTTACCAATTTAGGTGACAATACAACAAAATCCAAGGATTAGTGACAGACAATGTACATGTCATAAGGAATGTTAGATAGTACCAATCCTTACAAAAGTCATTGTCTCAAATAAACTGTTAAGTATTCAAAACGGTATCTAAATATTTCACATTAAGTGCAGAAGTGGCCATCCAGATTACATCCCATATTTGTTGCATATTTTTCAAAAAATGCCAATCAAAGCCTAATTTTGCCTCTAGGCTTTGTGTTATAAAATATCAGCTGTTAAAAAGTATTTTACATGTGTTTTTACTTTGTTTATTTATTTTTTAATTTTTTATTGCATTTTAGGTTTTTGGGTACATGTGAAGAACATGAAAGATTGTTGCATAGGTACACACATGGCAGTGTGATTTGCTGCCTTCCTCCCCATCACCTATAACTGGCATTTCTCCCCATGCTATCTCTGCCCAACTAGCACCCCCTGCTGTTTCTCCCCTATTTCCCCCTGACAGACCCCAGTGTGTGATGCTCCCCTCCCTGTGTTCATGTGCTCTCATTGTTCAACACCCACCTATGAGTGAGAACATGTGGTGTTTGATTTTCTGTTCTTGTGTCAGTTTTCTAAGAATGATAGTTTCCAGGTTCATCCATGTCCCTACAAAGGACACTAACTCATTGTTTTTGAGGCTACATAGTATTCCATGGTGTATATGTGCCACATTTTCCCTGTCCAGTCTATTATCAATGGGCATTTGGGTTGGTTCCAGGTCTTTGCTAATGTAAACAGTGCTGCAATGAACATTCATGTGCATTACATGTGTTTTTAAACCACAGTTGTTTGGCCAGATGAACAGTGTTGTGTCAAAGCGGGTAGCCAGCCTTCTAGGTGTGATTAGGACCCATGCATGATCTGGTATGCATCTATATGTTCAGTGCTCCAATTTTACTGGAAAATCTGTGAAATGCAGTTGTTCTGCCAAACCACACTCCACTCCTTTCATCTTCCTTTCTAGGGAAATATTTTAGTCAGTTACCACTGAATAACTTGAGAGCTGATTTGTAGATTTTATCCAATGACAACAAAGTCAATCTTGCCTTTTTCAAGCCACTTCAAATAACTATGGAGATAATTATCACTGTGTAAAGCATGTTGTTTTACTCCTAAGCAAGGGTGAGGAATCTGAGTGTCATGTGCAAGGCTCAAGATGACACTTAGGACAGAACATGCAGAGTAAAAATAGTTTTCTTCCATGTCCAGGTAATATAAAGCTGACAATTGTAGTCCTGTCTTTATGGGATGAAAACAGTCCCTTTACAGTAAGTTTCCTAAAAGAGAGAAGAAATAGATAATAACTCTTCTGGTAACACGTTATGGTACACTAGCCAGTGTGTTTTTGGTGATTAAACATAATCCTGAGTGTTCATTTGCAGCATCCCTCTGTTGAGTCTTGGGGGCCCTCCACAACCTTGTGCTCAGAGCCTCACTTGAAATTCTGCTGATATCAATCCCATTGATATCCAGAGTAATCCCAGGGAGCACTGAACTGAGACTGTGTATAACCACTGTTTGGAGTGTTAGAGAATGAAGGGCGGCAACTATCATATCCTCCTCTGAATCTTTTGGCAGGGCCCCAATATCCATTCATCAAGCCTCTAGCACCATGGGAACCTCCACAAGACACACCATGGCTATTGTAATAGGGCTGACTGTTACTTGGAAATCCAGTGTTCTGCTGAGGAGGCTGCTGGTGGTTACCAGTCACTTGATGGGACTGGTCCCAGGAACCATGGTAAGTGCCCACTACTGTTTGAAGCTGTTCTTGCTGAAGCTCTGTTTGTTCTATTTGGTGAGGCTGACTAGAAAAGCTCTGTTTATAACTGTCCTGGTACTGATTTTTCTGTTTTAAAGTTTCTGGTTCATTAACAGGGGGGACTGGGGCATTCATACTGAACACCATTTGCATGGATTGGAATGGAGCTGCATTTGCATTGATCCCACCGCTATGTAAAGGTTTGGCTGTCCCAGCCTAAAATACTTGAGGCTGAGAAGCAGCAGAAAGGGATGGTGATGCTGTAGTCTGGTCTGTATTTAAAAAGATTGTTGCCTGAATCTGATCAATTGGTTCCTTCTGTGGTCATTGCTCTGTAGCATGAGAAGGCTGGTACAAGGGTTGAGATGCCATATACCCCTCACTTGTGGATGACACCAAAGGAACCTGTGTGTGTAGCTTCTGGTTGCACAGGAACTGGATTAGGCTGAGCAAGTCTAGATTCAGAATGAACTGAAGAGCAAACCAGCTGGGGCATGCCCATGTTTTGTGCTGGATTCATAGGCTGTGCAGATACAATAGCAGGATCAAGTGTCTCGTTTTCAAAATCCAGCTTTGAATCCTGTATGAAATTATAGGGACCCTGCATCTGTGCCATAAGGTCTTGCACTCACTGTCTTCTCACAAGGGGATCTGCTTGAGCCACTCTAGTCAAAGAGTGGGTCTGTGATACGGAAGGGGATGATGACTCCTGAGGCTGCTGCTGGAGTGAATTTACCACCTCAACTGTTTCAACTGTCCACTCATCTGCCTGCTCCTTTTCACCACTGGTGAACTGTGTTTCGGCCATGAACTGTCTATTTACATCCTCTGTTGATTCAAGTTCATTTTGCTCGGTGTACTCTTCTGCTGGCTCAGGTTCAGCTTCAGCTACCTGGTCTTCAACTGTAGGTGCCGAGGCTGCCTCTTCTTCCTCACTGGTGGTTGTGGGTGCTGTCAAAGTAGTTTGACTGAAAAACACACTCGACAATTTCCTTTAGAACTTTATAGGTGGTTCCACATACAGATTTTTCCTTCCCTTCCAGCAGGTCCCACAGGTGAATGGAGGCGTGTTCATACTGTTCATTCAACCTCAAGCTCATGTCCGGTTCAGGGTCCACTAACTTACAGAATTCATCCAACAATGACAATTCCTCCTCGGACAGTATTGGCACTCCATTCAAACCTTGTTTCAGGTCAGTTCGCACTTCATCATCTCCCACTTTGTCCAAAACATACTGTAGCTCAAGTATAGTTTTTCAACGTTTCTGTTCAGCTTCTTCTCTCATAAGCTGCTCCCAACGTGCTGTCTTCTTTATTGTTTTCTGAATATCTTGACTTGGTGCCATGAAAGTGCTCTGTAATTCTTTTGCAAACTCCAAATTATTGGTGACTTCCTGGTACTTAGAAAAGGCATCCAACTAAGCCTTTCCCCTTTGTTCATTCGTTCCTGGTAATCATCAAGCTTACCCTTTTTCTTCTCCAGGTTCCGAAGTTTCTTACCGATCACCCCGAGGATCTGCTTCATGGCCTCGGTCTGCACAGCGCCAGTGCCGGTTGCAGGGTGCTGAGAAGCCGGCGCGGCGGCCCCGGATCCCACGGCCGCCCCGCTACCGAAGGAACCCGACACGGTGGTAGTCCACACGACTTGCTGCCGCTCCCGCTCTGGCTGGTGGCCGAGGGCATCCTGCATGCGCGGAGGCCGTCGGAGATCCTGAGTGGGCAGCTGTAGGGGCAAGGGTGGCGGTGCCTTCCGGGCAGTGTCACGCGCTCCGTGGGCGCAGGCCGCTTCGCCCAGTCCCCGCTGCACGGAGGGCCGCTCCTAGTCGGCCCTTTTTTTTTTTTTTTTTTAAGATACAAGTTCGCATTTTGTCTCACAGGCTGGAGTGCAGTGGCGCCATCATCGCCCACAGCAGCCTCGAACTCCTGGGCTCAAGCTATCCTCCAGCCTCTTGGGTGGTATCTTTATAGTAGTGTGAGAACGGACTAATACAATTTCACAGTGTTAAATCCCAGATTTTTTTTTTATAATGATGCACTTTTCACTTTAGCCTCCTAGGTAGCTGGGAATACAGGTGAGCCAACGCGACCAGATAATCCTAGTTTCAAGCCCTCCTCCTGCCTCCGGGAGGCCCCCAAATGCCTGGAGGTACAAGACCAACCCAGGGCTGGTGACACGCGCCGCGGCACAGACCAGGGCACAGAAGGGAACGTGTGGCCAGCTCTGGTCTCCTCTGACCCCTCATCCACACCGGCATGGCCGCTGGACCCCGGGAGACACTCCTGCAGCCTCGGCACCCTCCTGCGCGCCCTCCTTTCGGGGTCGGAGCGGCGGCCTCAGGGCTGGGTGCCAGCAGGGGGCGCCAGAGCTTCGTGCTTCAGAGCCGCCTGTTGCTGAGCGCGCACGCGGGACCTCAGAGGAGCCCAGGGCCGTTCCTGCCCACGGTGCTGCCAACACGCGGCCCACCCAGACAGACACACAGCCTGCTGTCTGTGTAGCCCTGGCACTCCCGGCATTCCTCCCTCGCTCCCTCCTCCCCTTCCTTCCTTCCCTCCTCCTCCTCTTCTTTCTCCCTCCCTCCCCCCTCCTCCTCCTCCTCCTCCTCCGCCGCCTCTTCCTCCTCCTTCTCCTCCTCCTCCTCCTCCTCTTCCTCCTTCTCCCTCCCTCCCTTTGTCCCTCCCTCCATCCTTCCTTCTTTCCCTTCTCCTCCTTCTCCCTCCCTCCCTCCTCCTCCTCCTCCTTCTCCCTCTCTCCCTCCTCCTCCTCCTTCTCCCTCCCTCCTTCCTTCCCTCCTCCTCCTTCTCCCTCCCTCCATCCCTCACTCCTTTCTTCCTTTCCTCCTCATCCTCCTTCTCTCTCCCTCCCTCTTTCCTTCCTTCCCTCCTCCTCCTCCCCTCCCTCCTTCCTTCCCTCCTTATCCTTCTCCCTCCCTCCCTTCTTCCTTCCTTCCCTCCTCCTCTTTCTTCTCCTCCCTCCTTCCTTCCTTCCCTCCTTCTCCTTCTTCTTCCTTCCTTTCTTCCCTCTCTTCTTCCTTCCTACCTTCCTTTCTTCCTTCCCTGCTTCACTTTCCTTTCTTTCCTTCTTCCTTTCCTTCATTGCTTCCTTCCCTTCCTCCTTCCTTTCTTCATTTTTCTTCTCTTTTCTTTCTTCCTGCCTCCCTTCCTGCTTACCTTCCTCCCTTTTTTCTTCCTTCCTTCTCCCTTTCCTTTATATCCTTTTCCTCTCCTCTTTCATCTTTCCTTCCTTCCTCCCTTCCTTCTCTCTTTCCTTCCTTCCTTCCTCCCTTACTGCCTTCTTTCTCTCTTTTTGGCTTTCTCTCTAAATATTTCTCTCTTGTCTCTGTTTTTCTGAGTAATTTCATTTATTTCTCCCTGTCACTCTTCACTGTTTATCTGTATCTCTTTGTGTCTTTTTATTTCTCCTCCTTCCCTTTTTTGCCTCTCTTACTCCTTTTCCCTCTCTGTCTCTCTGTTTTACACACACACACGTGCGCACGCACACACACACACACACACACACACAGCTTCCTCCTAAGCCTGCAGCTCTTTGAGGCTGGGGTCAGCCCTGCAGTTCATAAAACCTGGGAACCCACAGGGATTGCAGAGGGTGGCAGCCTCTTTCTTCATAGCTTCCACACTCAAATACTGCAGGCCCTTTTGCAACTCCTCCTCCAGGCAGCCTCCTCACAGGGCACAATGCAGCTTGCACCATGGGTGGTGGTGTAGAAATTACAGGTGCCAGCATCTTACACAACATTCTCCCTCTATCACCAGTGACTCTAGCCACCTGGGGTAAGGCATGGAATCTCTCCGCATCTGTATGGGATTTCACTTCTGAGATTTGGCTACACAAGACTGATTTCCTTCGGGCCAGCTCTTCTCATGGGTGCTTCTTGTCCACTTGCTTTGATGGAACCATCATGTCATGAGCTGCCCTACAAACAGGCCCACATGGTGAAGAACTTGGGCCAATGGCCAGCAAAGAACAGAGGCTCTCAGGCCAATGGAATTATCCCAACAATGTGGATCTTGAAAAGGAATCTTTCATCATTCAAGCTTTGAAATATTTCCAGCTGTAGACAACATCTCAGTTGCAGCCGGGGAGAGCCCTGAAGCAAAGGATTCCCCAAAGCTGCCTTCAGGAGATAACCCCCTGAGACTATGAAATGCTGTGGCTTTAAGTCATTGGTCTGCGGGAGAATTTATTATGCAGTTATAGATAACTGACAATATGTAAAAGATGTGTTCGCTAGAGCAGGCTGAAGTGCAGTGACAAATAACCCCAATCATGAAATGGCTCAACGAAACAATCCTGGTGTGGTATTCAGGTCAATGAGGAGGGTCTCTTTGATGCAGATGTTTAGGGACTTAGATTCCTTCCCCCTTAGGGCTCTACTATCCTCTAAGGCCCTGTTGTTGTCTGCATCCAGCCCAGAAGGAGAAAAGGAGTGTGGTCAAGGCAAACTCACTCCCACAAAAGCACAGCCCCAAAGAGCTGGTTTGATATGTACTCACATTCTCTTAGGGAAAATTATTATTATTATTATTTATTTTATATATATAGTTATATATATATATAGTAATATATATATTATATATAGTAATTATATATATATATATATATATATATATATATATATATATATGGAGAGAGAGAGAGAGAGAGAGAGAGAGAGAGAGAGAGAGAGAGAGAGAGAGTATTGCTCTGTCACCCAGGCTGGAGTGCAGTGGTGTGATCTCGGCTCACTGCAACCTCTACTTCCTGGGTTCAAGCAACTCTTCTGCCTTAGCCTCCAGAGTAGCTGGGACTACAGACACGTACCACCACACCTGGATAATATTTGTATTTTTGGTAGAGATGGGGTTTCACCATGTTGGCCAGGCTGGACTCAACAGCTAACCTCAAGTGGTCCACCCACCTAGGCCTCCCAAAATGATGGGATTACAGGTGTAAGCCACTGTGCCTGGCCTCTGTTGGGGAAAATGATATCACATGTTTCCACTTACTTTGAAAGGAGATTGAGAGCCATGTCTACTCATGGTGGCTCCAGTCTTAGAATGCATAGCTTAGGCCTAGCCTCAAACTATTCAATGTATATTTGCCCAAAGGAGTCTGGCCCTGCCTGGGCTCTCCTTCTCCATGTTAACTCTCCTGACACTGAAATTGTTGGGAACTTGTCTACTGAGAAGTTCTTTTCTTTTCTTTTTTTGAGATGGAGTTTTGCTCTTGTTACCCAGGCTGGAGTGCAATGGCGTGATCTCGGCTCACCGCAACCTCTGCCTCCTGGGTTCAGGCAATTCTGCTTCGGCCTCCTGAGTAGCTGGGATTACAGGCACGCGCCACCATGCCCAGCTAATTTTTTTTGTATTTTGAGTAGAGACAGGGTTTCACCATGTTGTTCTTTTTTCATCTCATACCTGGCCTGGCCCACGTGTCCTCATGCTGCCTAACCACAGCCTGGAATAATCTTCTCCCCTCTGGCCTGCCTCTACTCAGGCTGTGGATTCAACGGAGTGTTTGTTCTGCTTCAGTAAGTGGCTTTTGTGCATTGCAGTGGCTGATTTATTTCTAACTTGCCTACAAAATTATGAACTCCACAATGTTCCCACACAACACTGCATCTTCATCTTCAGGTCAAACCACTGCACTCAAATTTTAGATTACACTATTTCTGAATCAGCAGAAGTCTTGCTCGTGGATCAGTAAAGGTGACGTTCAATAGCATATATGAAGAAACCCAGATGACTGTGGCATAAACTAAAGGTTTATTTTTTCACTTTATTTTTCTCTCATGTAAAGAAATCCTTGAGTAAGCAAGCCTGAGTTAGTATGGTAGCTTCATCAGGATCCTTGCTATTTCTGCTGCTCCATTTCAAAGTCACATTTGTGTTTCCAAAATAATTTGAAAGATGGCTGCTGTAGCTCCAGCCATTACATCTGTATTCCAGGCAGCAGTAAAAAGAGAGGGCAAGGGCTAAAGGGTGTATCACCCAGCTGAATTATCTCCTTTAAAGAGCATTCCCATAATTCAACCCAGTGACATCCACTTACCAACCAAGTGACATCATTGGCCACCCCTGTCTGCAACGGAGGCCAGCAACTGTGGTTTCCCAACTGCACGCATTGCTGAACTCAGCAATATGGGATAGAGTTGTCTAACCCAAGAAGCAGGGGAACTTGGGTAGACAGCCGGCAGTCTCTGACACATTGTCTTATTCTTTAAGGGAGCAGAAAGATGGATTCCCACAAATCCGAGTCCCAGTTGTCTTTTCTGCAATAGCTATTAATGGTATTAGCTAAACTGTATCACTCCACTTTTATGGCTCTGTTGAGAAGGACACCCCAAGTCTACCGGTTCCTTTGTGTTAGCTAATAATGGCACAGTGTTAGAAGTGGCAGTGATATCTCTTGGGCAAATGGATGACCACTTCTGAGAACCTGGTGTTCAGAATTGGCCGAGGCTGCCTGAGATGATTGCGTGACACAGTGCCCATGGAACACTTTTCAGAACTAGTATTAGACTTTATTTTAGAACAGTTTTAGATTTACAGAAAAATTGAATGAGACTGTACAAAGAGTTCTCATAATTTAACCCCCACCACCACACACAAACTTTCCCTGTCATAAAAATCATACACGAGTTAGATATATTTGTTAGAATCAATAAACCAATGTTGATACTTTT